ATAAAAGTAATAAAAATTAATAAAGGACACAAAAATAAGACCCTATCCAAAAAGACCATTTGGAGTTAAGACATGAACTGTAACTCAGAAATGAAACCATTCTAGTTTAAAACTGATTGTGATGAACTAAAGGTCACATATCGTGATTCAATGATGAGATAATGGAAGGATAGATCTGAGGAATATTCAGAAGCCTGTGCAGAAAGGGAGAGAAGGGGCACGTGGAGGAGGACTTAGTGACAAGGATGTGGGATGTGAAGGTCCAGCAGGTGTCACTGGAAGTTCTAGAAGCAGAATATAAAGGTGTGGTACTGGAGGTAAGGCAGTAGGTCAAGATGGAATATAGGAGAACAAATAAAAGCTGTGACTCCAGCAGGTCGACAGGCTAAGTAACAGAAAACCTTCTACTAGACACAGTACAGTGTAACTAAAACATTAGCAGGTGTAAAGGTCAAGATCCTACCATTTATAGATAAAAGGCTGACTGCCTACAGAGAAATGAGCATCAGAGTTTGTGAACTCTGAGACAGCAACAAAAGAAATAAGATGATATAATAATATAATCAAAGTACAGGGAGAAAAACATCGTCTTATAGCTAAAAAATCATTTTCAAATGTGGGTAAAATATAAAATGTGGATATATATATATATATATATATGTTGGATCATGGGTCATGGATGTGAGATACTGGACTAGCACATGACTGATTTAGCATAGTTCTGGGTAAGGATGATGGTGTGGGTGGCACCAACCAATAGGTTTGTAGCCTGCATGGAATAAAAAGGGAAAGAAGGGAAGCTCACTGCTTCCTGCTTGCCATGCCGTGCACTGTTTCCCCTCTGCTATGCTCCTCTGGCATGCGGCTCCAGCTGACTGTGAATTGAAATCTCTAATAAACAGTTCTTCCTTAAAACTGTGGGTATTGAGCAGTGTGTCTCAGTGATGAGAAACACAGACAGACACTATAAAATTTTTGCTAAAAAATTTACTTAAGAATATACTTCAGAAGAAACTGACCCCAAAAGAAAGAAGATGCAACATACTAAGTTTGAACAGATATCTAATACACAGAGCACTAGTTGGGGAGTGTTAAAACAAGATGAAGTGAAGACACTGGTTGTAATGGTATGTGAAATGGGGACAGAGGGCATCAGGGAGGCATCAGGCTTCTGGGACTTTTGGGCAGAAGGGTAGCAATACTGATTGATCATAGAATTTATGAAAGAAGTCTGTGTTTTAGAATATACCAAGGGTAATCACTGAGGAGAGAAATTGTGTATATGACTTCCAAATCAGTAGGAACAACAGCATTGAATATATAAAATTGATCAACAAAATGGTTGCGAGAAGGGAAAAAAGCAGAGAAATATTGGGTTCAATGAAAATCAAAAAATGAGATGACTGAAATAAATCCAAGCACAGCATAATTCAAAGAATAAGCTCTCAATTAGAAACACAGACTGTCAGTCATATTGAATCAGAAAGTCTAACTTTGTACTTAAAAAAAGTCTAACTATGTACTTAAAAAAAGACATTTGATATAAAGATGAATTAATGTATGTTGAATGTAAAAGCGTGGAAAATACCAGCAAAATATCAGTTCAAAGAAAGTGAGGTAGGAATCTTAGGAACTGACAAGGTTGTCTTTCAGGTAAAAAGGAATATTTAGAAAAAAATAAGTCACTAAATGAGGATAGAAAAAATTACTCACTGGAAAGATGTAATATAAGCACATAAGCATAGCATCAAATTAAATAAGCTAAAAAGTGACAGAATGTCAAAGATAAATTAACAATTATCCAGTTAGAGAGGCAAAATTGAACATAGCCCTTATAGGATGTGAGGTTTATAATGACAAAAAAACAAAACAAAACAAAACAAAAAAAACCCACAGAAGATCTGAGTGGCCCAATGAGCAAACTAGGTCGAAAAGAACTATGTCAAGAATACACATTCTTTCCAGGAATGCATGACATCAAAATGTCAGTCACATAGTAGACCACAGAGCAATTCCTGACAGACATGCAACCAAGAATTGAAGAGACTATGCTCTTAAGGGTCTTCATGGGTTAGACAAATAACAGCAACAGTTAAAATCAAATCATGTATGTGGAAAATTTTAAATAATTAATGATTAAAGAAGTATCTGAGTGTGGAATCCAAGAATACCTGGTTAACACTAATAAGAAAGTCAATTTACAGTCACTGGATACCTAGGAAAATACAGTTTGGAAAATATATGTGTGAAAGGAGCAACCAGAACAGTGAAAGTATTTAGCAATAAGTCAATCGAAAGATGTGAAAAACTTCTGTATGAAATCTTTAAAAGTCTTGGAGATCTAAATGAATGGAAAGATGCCTAGTACTGGTGGACTGTGGAAATATGTCAATTTTATACAACTGTCAACTTGAATGTATTCATATTAAAATTCAAACTAAAGTTTTACTTTGTTTTTTGTTTTTGGGTTGGGAGGTGACTAATTTATGCGAGGTAAAGAATCAAGAATTCCAGGACAGTTCTGAAGAGGGACTTCAACCAATAAGCTCCCCACTCTACCACCTTTGCAAGAAAGTGTCATAGGAGCACAGAACGGTAGCGTAGCACACAACCATCAACAGGGCCCACGTGTATGTAAATTTGTAATACGGCAGAGATTTCATTTCACATACACAGAGAAAAAAGGATTTCTGGAAGCAGCTTTGGAACAACTTGCTATGTACATGGCAAAAATTAGGATAGATGTCTACTTATTTAAAACCATATTTAAGGAATTAAAGACCAATCTAAGAAAAAGCATGACTTTAAAAGATTTGGAAGAAAATAAGGGGGAATGTTCTTGTGTTCTCAGGATAGGAAAGGACTTGTTAAACACAACTCTGAAAGCACAAGCCATAAATTAAGAGAGAAGGATACATTGAATTATATTAAAATATTTCTGGAGATGCTTTTGTACATTAAAGATAACAAACAAAGTGGAAAATACAAATCTTAAACCTGGAGCGGGAATTTGGCAGGCATATAAGAAAGAAAAGCTTTGGCACAGAATTTTTAAACTTCTCATGGAAAAGGTCAAAGGATTTGAATGGGCAGCATGAGAAAATGACACCCAGTGGCCTCAGAAATTCTATAACCTGTGTAACATAAATTAAGCAGAAAGCACTTAACAGCTCATACTCAACTAGATTGGGAAAAATGAATAAAAACCACTCCGACCAGGCTAAGATCTGAGGGGATATAATCAGGTCCAAAGGCCAGCTGTCAATATGGAGTACAGGCTAGCACACGGGTGCCGGGCAGGGCTGGCCCAGCCTGGGCTCTCCAGCAGCACAGTGTAAAACAGAGGAAGCCTAGACACCCAGATGCGACCCAGCCTGGGGCATCCAGAGGACCTAAAGCCTTTCAGTAAGGTTTCCTTTCTCAGGAATATATCACATATTGTTGTGTTCCATTCTGTTATTTTCTAGACTTATTTTTGTATGCCTAAAATTTTCCTAATGAAGAAGTTTAATTGAGTGAGCGTTAGGGGGGAAAGGCATTCACGTACAACTGGTCATTTGGTACATGCTTATGATTTATATCTAGATGTCCCCACAGGCCTTATGTGCTCATAAGTGAGGTTTCTGGGAGGGGATTGGAGCTTGGGGGCGTGATACTCATCACTGGTTTAGTGCTCCATGAGTTTATAGGCAAATGTGGTGTTGGGGAGGTGGGTCACTGGGGTGTGGCCTGGAAGGGTGTATCTTCTGCCCTGCTCCCTTAACCGCTCTGCCACCTGCTACCCTGCCATGGACTGTTTTCCTCCACCACGCCCCTCTTCCAGGAGCCAGCTAGGTGCGGACTGAAACCTCTACAAACTGTGAGCCAAAATAAACCTTTCCTCCTTTAATTCGTGAGTGTTGGGTGTGGTGTCTCGGAGATTAAAGAGTGACTAAGACACTACAGCAAGGGTAGATTAAACCTCTCCACCGTGACACAACTCTTTTTAATGGACACTACTCCTTTAGGATGGACTAAGCTGAAAAACAGATTTGCTGTGATGATGTAAAGCGGGTGCAAGTATTGCGGCTAAAAAACATCTTAAAGCAAAAGTTTATCTACACAAAGCGCCACATGCAATCACAGCTTTTATTAGAGCTATTAGTAACAACAACAACAGTAACAACAACACAGAAAGCCTAAATGTTCCACACTATCTAATTGCTTCTAGTATGCAGTACAACTGAGCAATGGAACATAACGTGGACATCGAAAATATGGTGCTGAAAATTTCAGTGTTGTGGAATAGCTTCCAAAATATTAAGCTAAGATAAAACAGGATGCGGAATAATAGGAAAATTAAATCATTAAAATATCTACGCACTGAAGTCAATCTACCAGAATGTTAACGGAGCTCACTATTGGAAAGACTATAGGTGACTCACTGTTTCCTAGAATTCTTTGCCTTTTCCAAAAACCGTGTGTGTGTGTGTGTGTGTGTGTGTGTGTGTGTGTGTGTGTCTGTGTGTGTGTGTGTGTGTGTGTGTGTGTGTGTGTGTGTGTACATATTATTTTTTAGTAGGAGCGGTTTTCCTTTGCAGAAATCATTTCAACCGACTGCAAGAGAGCCCCCGGAAGGCAGACAGACTGCAGACTCTTCCCATTCCCATGGATGTGTGTTGACTGACTGTCGCAGAACCTGGTGAAAAGTGTGGATTTGGGTTCGCGAGTGACGTCAGCATGGACTGCCTGGGTTTTGGTGGGGGAAGCTGCCCACCCTCTCTGATCCTCGTTTCGCTTCCGTAAAATGGGCCCAGCCGGCTGGATGGCTTGGTTCCCAGCTTCGTGTCGAGGGTCCCGGGCCGGGGTCACGCGTGCGGGCGCAGGGCGCAGGGCGCAGGGCGCAGAGCCCCACGCGCGGGCGTTCCGCGGGGATGGCTGTGACCGCCGCCCAGCCGCAGCGGCGACGCCGAGCGGACTCGGGCGGGCGCCCGGGCGGGAGGGCGCGGGGGCGGGCGCGGAGGCGGGGACTCGGGCCGGGGCGCCGGCGGGCGGCGGGCGGGGATCCCCCGGCGGCGCGAGGAAGTCCCCGCGCGCGGGTACAAGAGCGCGGGCGCGAGCGAGGAGCGGCACACCTCAGCCATGTCGCGCGGCCTCCGGCTCCTGCTCCTGAGCTGCGGTAGGGCCCGGGGCGCCTGCCACCCTCCCCGCGCCGCGCCACCCTCTGCCCGCTCACCACGCTCTCCCCTCTCTCTTACAGCCTGCAGCCTGGCGCCCGCCACGCAGGAGGTGAAGGTGGCCTGCTCCGGGACGGTGGACCTGCCCTGCCCTGCGCCCTGGGACCCGCAGGTCCCCTACCAGGTGTCCTGGGCCAAGGTAAGTGGACGGGCGACAAGGGTCGCCAGGCTCTCACCGGGATGGGGGGGGGGCGTCTCCCGCTGCCGAACTGGAAGCGCGGGCTCATCACGACCCTCCCTCCTGTCCTGCCCTCCCATCCCTGGGTCACATCCAGTTCTGGGCAGCTTTAGGATTTGTTCCCCAAGGGCCTTGTCCTGTGCCTGTTTCTAAAGCTAGCCCACGAAGCCTGTTGTCATTAAGACGTTCTGAAGAGCAGAGGACCTGGCATTGTTAAGTCTAGGGGCCACCTGTGGTTGCAGGCCACACAGAAAGCTGGATGTGGCCAGTGGACAGCACGATTGTCTCCAGACTCCTGATTTCTTGTGTCTTGTGATTGTGATGCCCACAGAACACCGGCGGGGGAGGGGCAGCTTGCCAGAAAGGGGTCAGACAAAAGTGACTTAGGTTGTGGTTACCAGGGGTTACCTCCTTTCTGGCACCTCCTGGGCCTCCTCCCCAAATCTGCTGCATCTCCCTCCTGTGGTAGGCGAGTGCAATCCAGCCATGAAGATGTAGATAGCGCACAGCGTGCAAGCAACCTGTCTGGCCCCTACTGTGACAGTATCCAGGTTTCTTTTTGATTAGATCCTCCTCTGAGTCTGAGACTGACATCCTAAAACCCAGTCTCAGCGGTTTGCCAGTACTGGTGTTTTGCTCCCCTTCTTTAAGCGTGGCTACTGTCACTGGGCACCTCCATTTTAAACCACGTGAAGGCAACATGCCAGCATCACTTGGTGGCTCTCCCTGAGTTGCCATCTTACCTTGCAGGAGCTCCTTGTCTGTGTGTAGTTTTCCACAAGATGCAGGCCTTCCTTCTGTCCCGCATAGACCTGCACACATGCCTGGCAGTGTAACTGGATTCTCAGTTACCCCGGGGCAGTGGCTGTACCAATGCCTTTGTGCACATGTGCTTGCCCTCTGGATTGCAAAGGTGTTCGGTGAATCCAGACCTGCACCCTGGGTGCTATTCAGTGGAGATGCCGCAGCTGCCTCTGCCTGCTGGCTGGTGTAGGCGAGTAGGTGTTCAAATTGCCCCTTCATTTCTGCCTTGTTCTCCTTGGGCGATCAGGGAACTCAACTCCAAAACTGTTTGTGGAGTCAAAGCAATGACACTTTTACAAACATGGTAGCCGCACAAATGGTGGCCAATGCTCCTAATCCCAGCACTCTGGGAGGCTGAGGCAGGAGGAGTGAAAGTTCAAGTCCAGCCTGGGCAATTTAGCAGTTTTGTGAGACCTTGTCTTTAAATGAAAAACAAGCAAACAAAAAAAGAGGTTCAGGGCTGGCATGCTGGAGGTGTAGCTCAAGGCAAAGGCCTTGGGTTCAATCTCCAGGAATACCAAAAAAACAAACAAACAAAAAAAAACCAAAACTGTTATTTGAGTGTTCACCATATGCCACAGGTAAATATTTACATATACTACCCATTTCCATCTTTCCAGTTTGGACTCAAGAGATTGGTATCATTAGTATTTTATAGCCACCAATCATGGTTTATAGGTGAGGAACAGCTGGGGGCGGGAAATAACACACTCACTGTTACCCAGCTAAGTAGTTGGAAGAGAGCTTTGAACCAACTGGTAGCTCTTGAGTTGTTAGAAATCTGTCTTGATATCTCTGTTTTCTACCTTGATTACTTACGGTACAGAAAATAGAAGTGTTCCCGGGCTAGGGAGGCATGGTTATAGTTATCTCAAACCAGGAAGAAAACATGAAACCACTGTCCCTTCCAGAGCGTAATCAAGAGAGAGAGAGAGAGACAGAGAGAGAAAACATTATTAATATCCCCGGGGGAGTAATTAAAAAGTACTCATGAAACAAGTGGATGAAATTTCAGACTGTAAAGTTCAAACAGTTGTCAAGTTAAATCTTCTTGCACAGGGTGGCTTGGAATGGTTCAGTAAACCGTAGCAATTAACCTTTGGCTTCTCCGCGGATGTCAGCTGATGATGTAACTCTGTAATGCATGGGCTTGTCTGCTGGATGCAGCTCTTGCCAGATTTATCCTGAAGGGCTCTCCAAATTGTTGGAAGAAAAAGCCAGCAATGTTTTAGGCACTCTCTTATTTTTCTGTTGGTCCATGGAATAAGATCATTGAAAAATCACGTTATCATTATTTTTAAAGAAATCCGCTATGAGACTGGGGAGAGCACGTAGTTACCATGTGCAAGGATGTCGATTTAAACCACATTAAAGAATAATTAATCTGTGGTTGAGATTGGTGGTTAGCACAGTGGTGTTGTGGTAGTAAGCTGAGCAGGTACCTTCAAAGTGATATGTGCTGTTGCTTTAAGTATTTTTGAACAGGTCTCAGCATATTCTGTGGATATTTGCTGTTTTCCAGCCCAATAATTAATTATACTTTTGCGCCGATTGTGCTTGTGTAACAAAACCTTCTTACAGAAGGTTAAGCGTTTGGTTCTTTTCCGACAGCTTTCTTGTAAGATATTTCAGGGAAGTAGAGATGTAGCCATGTGGGAATTGCACCCAACATCGTGGTCAGCTTAGCTCTTCTTGTGTTCCTCTGGCTTTGTGGAGCCGTCCCCTCTGCTGTGTGCTGGGTGGACAGGTAAAGCAAGGTCCCTTGGAGGGGTTTTCCCTGTCGGCCTCTTTGAACTCATTCTTGCAGGCTGCCTGCATATCACAGGGCTGGTTTTAAAGACCCACAGTTCTAGACCTCAGTGATGCTGTCTTCTGGCATCCTGGAGGTTCCTGCAGCATCCGGTTGGCACTGATGACTTGTGATTAACCAAGGACGCACGTCAAATATGTCATTCACCTTTTACCGGAAACTCTAAGCAGGATGTCCAATTAGTGTTTGTATCCTTAGGATGAGCTGGGAAAGAACAGTGTCTTTTTATTCTTCCTGCTTCAAAAATGCAGTGTAAGGAAGCCAAGGGGGTTCAATATAGACATGCGCAGGAGGTCCAAGGCAAAGCCAGAAGTGGACAACGTTAGCCCAAGTGGGATTCCCAAAGGGTCCCCTTCCCATCCCTTTCTCCCTTGTGTCTTTTGAAGAAGGAAGAGTGATTGAGGGAAAAAAATGAAAAATTAATAAATGCCATCTATTGGGTTCATATTGGGCTCTCCAGGGAGGTGTTTTGAGAACTTATGCAAATAGACCTTGAACCTTGCTCTTCCTGCTTCGGCTGTGACCTTTGTTTAAAATCTACTAGAAGAGGATGTAAAGAGGGCTGGGTCTGTGGTGATGTCCCTGTGTCCACACTCCTCAGTGAAGCTGCCAGGTTTAGAGGAAGAACGTGACTCCACATGAAATGCTTTGAGCGTGGTCGCCACCCTCCACTAGGAAGAAGTCACTTATCCAGGAGATGCAGCGCCGTCTTACAGGAGCCCTGACAATGTGCGATGATGCAAAATGAAAGAGGATATCTAGTGTCATTTGGGTGATGCTGCGGGGGCGAGGACAGCTGTGCATCACAAGACAAGGGCCTGTTGTTCCGAGGATTTCCAAAGGAAGGGAGAAAGGGGAAGTGAGCTCCCAGATCAGACTTGAACTTTATAATATTTAGAAGAACCGCAGCTGTGGCAGATCTGTGGAGCGCTCCAGCTCTGATGTGAATGCTAAGGGAACTGCTGGAGAGCAGGGCCGTGGCTTGCAGAGGCTACTTGCAGTGTCACCATGCGTGTCCCTGGTGAGTCGCTTGTCCTCTACCCGCCAGAAAGCTGTCTTCCCTGTATGTTGAGAAACTCCTATGGAATGGAGTTATAATTTCTGTCTCTCCTGTCTTCTCTGATGATGAGCTGTAAGACTTGAGGCACCAAAGAGAGCACAGTGCCTAGGGAAGAGATGGAGTTACGAATGGCCCAGGATGTGCCATCTGTTGTGCCACAAACCCTAAAGGACCTGTGCAGGAGGAGACAATGTATGTCATCAGTGTGCTCCTTTGGTTCTAAAAATGTCATGTGTTGACAGTGTTTTTAAGAATAAGTTTTTAGGAGAAAAATGAAATATTTCTATTGTGAATATAGAAAGATCAAAACATGAGAACAATGCATTAGAATAAAAGAAAAATAATATTGCCCCCATTGGCACCTGTGTAGTGTGGTCCTATGGACTCACTTTCATGGGCTCTTACCTTAGGTCAAACTATGAACAAGGTAAAGTTGGTTTTCATATTTCTCTCACACTTATACTTTCACACTTTAGTAAATCTTTGTGTGTGCTGAGTCCTGGGAATGATACTGGCCATCAAAGATCAATATAAAATTTTGCTAGAGGAACATCTGGAGCAAAAGCACGAAAGTGGGCATCCACACAGGGTTTGCGAGGGAAGGGGTCAGTGGCCTAACGAGTGATCTAGAAGGGAGAATGGTTCAGCGGTGACTGGAAGGTAATGTCAGAAGGTAGGCTGGGCACAAACTGAAGAACCTTGAATGTCAACCAGTACCGCCTTGAACTGGGTCCTTTGGGTAGTAAGGAGCCATTGAAGGATTTTAACAAAGAGCATTCTATAATGTGAAGTGTATCTAGGAAAGGTGTAGTTATCATGATGATGAACAGAGTATAATTCAGTCTAGAAGATGAGTTTCAGAAGAGGCTCCATTCTCTCCCTGTAGTGGAATTCTCATCAGGTTAATTCAGCGATGGCTTGGACACATCTTTGGGAGATTTCTTGCTTCCTTGGATTTCTTGGTTCTCAGGCCTGGGTATGGTATGTACCAGGAAGGATGCAGCTTTCACAGAAAGCTGGAAGAAGGTCTTCACCAGGTGAGAATAATGGATTATTGAGGTTTGAAATAATGATGGACTAGAGTAAATTAGATTAAAAACTTTCAGCTTGAAAGAGGGCAGGAAGAAGGCAACTGAAAGTTAAATAGAAAAACAAACAAATAAAAATCCCCATGTGTTTTCCTTGAATGCCAGGGGGAACCTGGATCACATGAGGCCTGGATTGTCTTAGTTATTTTTTACGTGAAAAAGGGGAAGTTTGCAGCAGATCTCAGTGACGCAGAGGAAG